AGCTCTCTCTCAGATCAGCCGTGTTATTCAGAATCCGGAGATCCAAGGTTGCTCATTTCTTCAGTTGATCGATGTTTTTGTGTTCAGCGCCCTGTTTTCAGCGATTGCCCCAAATTTGCTACAAGCGATCGAAAATCCGGCTGACCGTACACCTGACTGTCTGCAAGTGCTGATCCGCACCGAATTTGTGCATTATATCGATGCCGCATCGTTGGCCTTGCTGATGCCGGTAATGCATCGCGCGTTTAGTGACCGTTCGATGGAGACACGCAAGTTGGCGGCACAAATTATCGGAAATATATACGCGCTGACTGATCAAAAGGTAGCTTTTGTTAAGACTGATCACATGATTGTGTCATGTACCTGATCGGTTACGTTACGTTGATGATTACTCATGTTGATACTCAAAATTTGGAGTATTCCTTATTTTATGTCCTAGTTTTGTTTTCACTGTTCACTTCACAGAACTGCGCTATTAATCTGTTTGCCAAACGCCATCCTGAGCCTTTTTGCTAGCCGTTGTGACTTATGATTATTCCTGCCACACGTGGGTAATTCATATGAGTTTTTCGCGTTATTTCTGCTCAGCATAACTGTTCTTTCATATTTTTCCTTTGTTTTTCCTCATCACATTGCCGTGGCAATACCTATGGATATTTATATATAATCTGACCTACGCTGCCGTCATTGATTCATCCTGTCATAAACCATCCTAGGTAGTATGTCCCCCTCGTACCATTCTACAATTGTACAGTGAACATTCGCGTTGCGCATGATTGATGAATACTAAAAGAAAGTGAGGAACTCGAGAAACTCTGATTGCTTGAGAAGATTCCGAGTTTGCTGCTCTAATATTATCATGAATGAAGCAGAGCCAACGCTTTGGATCCTATGGAAAACCTCGTTACACAACTGGTATAGCGTGAACGAGCTCTGAACTTCATGCAGTACGTTGTGCCATTGTGCAGCACAAAGGTACTGTTTCTTAATTTTCTTATTTCCGTGAAGATGATATAATATAAAGCATTGCGTTGAGATATTGCAAGTGTTAGCGCCCTCTTCTTTTTATCAACCTTGCTTCGTCTCTATGCGTTGGGCAACGAACAATGACTACATTACAAGTGAAGGTTTTTTCAAATGACTTTTAAGAGCAAATTTGGTTGCACCGTATGACCATAAAAACTACATTACGTCTTGTCATCATTATGGCGAGTCGGTCTTTATAGAATAACAAAATTGGCCATGAAATGGTTGCTTTCTTCTATCCTGCAAGATCAAGTGTAACTTTGGTGAATTGAACCCTTTATTTTTCGATGCATTTTTATTATATATCCAGGATGCACTGTTTTGTACGAGTCACTTTCAAATGTCTTTCGCTCAATTTCCACGTCATACGTCATCTCTGAGATATGTTCTACCCATCGTCCGTTGTTTGTTAATTTCTTTCATCTGTCGGCATAGTCCGTTTTTCTTATCCAGCAATAGCAGAGTTTTGTTTATGTATTACCTGTATAAACTGTGATGCGCGGCTCGAAAAGATAAGCGGTCATGAAACTGACTGACTGACTGGCTGGCTGGCTGGCTGACTGACTGACTGACTGACTG